CTCTCTCTCTCTCACACACACACACACACACACACATGATCAACAGGTGTGAATACAGTTAGTTCAATCCCCTGAATGGTACACAGTGCTACACACATATGGCTGTTAATACACAGATAATGAGTTCAAATCCTGAATTCTAAAGGACTCACCTTGGGTGATCTTGATGGGATGTTGTGTTGCATTTCCCTCCCCCCCCCCTCTTCATGGATTCACACTTGGACTTCCCACCCCCCTCCCCCCAAAAAAGTAGAGACAGGTCCTTATTGATACTCTGAAGCAATCGGATGTGTACAAATCAACGGATTGATTTCCCGCTCGTATCCAATTTCCAGATCTGTAAGACAGGGTGACCCGTCAGCTTCCTCCAATTTTCCCTTTTTTCATGGAAGGGATGGCATCCTTCCTACGGAGGGACCCATCCATTCAGCGGCTTCCAGAATTCAATTGAGAGGCAAGGGTTTATTCTAGGGTACAGGATTTAGCAACCACGGAATCTCAGGGGCCTGTTTTAACACTGTTTAATTGATGGCAAATTGCTAGGGGTTGGGGACTTCTGTTACACTGTATGGGCTTGACTGACGGCTAATCCTTCCCACGGGGAGCAATCAATGCTGTCAGGGTTTCCCAGGACGTAATGTGGGGAAGCGTGTTCAAGGGTTGTATTCATGTTATTGACTTGCCGGGGCAATAAGAACCGGACTGATGTTCCCCAGAATAAAAGGAGTTGGATTCTTTGTAAAAAAAACAAAAAAGAAGGGAAAATGAGGGCAAACTTTCTCCTCACTAATGAGTAGAGCCCTCATCATAAACACCTCGATCTTCTCTATGATGTGGTACGTAGCCTCGATTTGGACAGTACCTGACGATAGTATGAAGAACTTGAACAGAAAGGTCAGAGCGTTCCTCTGGGCGGGAGACCCAAACAAAGAAAACTACATACCAAAGATAGCCTGGCACTATATCACAAGGAAACCCTCCTCCCGAGACCAGGCATCTTGGACCCTGGACAAGAAACGAAGGCTCTTCAAGTGAAATGGAGCATAAACATCTTAACGAAACAGTCTTTGCCATGGATGAATATGGTGTTAGACAACATTCGTTCCTTGACACCTATTGAAAATCCACAAAATTAATATGTCCTGGCTCTTTGGGATTATGAACAAAGAATGGAATCCAAAAACAGGCCGCCAAAGAAGAAGAAGAGAGTTCCCTGCGGGAGGGGACACGGCTGCCTTCCTTCCCCATCAGACAGCGGTAATCCGAATCTGGAGGGACAGAAACCCAGATCAAAGAAGCAGTGCTGCGAAAACCGCTCTTCAGAAACCAAGCAATAAGGAATGATGGGGACCCCCCATGGCCGCAAACTTCCAAAGACAGCAGATGGGAGTCATGGGTCTGCCATAGGATATGAGAGATCGATCACATACGGAATGATGAGAAGAAAGACTGGCTGGATGAAAAGGAACTTGAAGATCACCTCAAGGGATGTGATCACCGCAATGAGAACCTAGAAGAGATGATAAGTAGTCCTGAAAGATGACACAAACTCCTCAAAGAAGACTTCTCTCAAAAGCCAGGAGAACGGGGTATAGAAATCCAAGCTGTGCCCCCAACCCGGGATTGCCAGGTCTCACACAGGCGGGACACCAGTAGCTACTTGGCTGTGTTCACATCCTTCCCCATTTGCCATTCCAACCCCGAAGTCCCATCCATATTGAACCAAGACCGAAAAGAAGTCACTGCCAATGGGTACTCCTGCAAAATCGGAGTAATGGGGCTATGGTCAAAGACAATCTCTTATAACTCTTAAAGGATGAAGCGGTCCTCCCGTGACGCTCCCCCGGGGCCCAGGAAAAAACGAGCCAGGAGCTCCATGCACGGTGCCATGGGGGACCCAGGAGGGAACTGGGAGCCGCCGCAGGCGAAGCGGGACCAGAGGGGGGCGAAAGAACGTGAGGCCTGGGACGTGTTGGTTCGCAGAGGGAGCAAGACTGGGTGCACAAACGGGCGCGGTACGAGATTTGACATGGGCAGGCCCCATGTGGGGGTGCCGGCGTGAGAAATTTGGCATGTGGGCGGGCCGTCTTCCAGCTATTTTTCCTTTTTCGCAGACGGGAAGCGGCGGGCTTTTTTTGGACCCAATGTCGCTTGGCACAGGCCGCAGCCATCGAAATGGAAGAGGCGATCGAGCGGGGCAGGGTAGCGGCCGTACGAGGCAGGGTCCCATGCAGGTCAGAGCAACGCAGCGGTAGCGTTTCAGATGCAAACGGCGGGAGTGCGAGCGGTGACTTCGTTCCATGGTTCTCTCTCTCTCTCTCTCTCTCTCTCTCTCTCTCTCTCTCTCTCTCTCTCTCTCTCTCTCTCTCTCTCTCTCTCTCTCGGCCTCGTTCCGGTTGTGTTCCATAGAGCCATCAACCTCAAGGAAACTCTGATGCATGGCGTGTGCAGACATATGCCGCTATGCGTTCCGTGTGCGCTCGACCATGCCTGCGCAGTGCAGCATGCGGTGGACGGAGCTGCACTTTCTCGGGCAGTCAGACATCTTCGGTCGATGATGTATGCGAGCAAAGACTATGTGGTCGCCTCTGTGTGTGTGTGTGTGTGTGTGTGTGTGTGTGTGTGTGTGTGTGTGTGTGTGTGTGTGTTAGATTTTCCCCACAACAGCCCCAATTCCACCCAGGTGAATAGATTCAGAATCAAAGCAGTCTTTGTCCTATTGCAAACAACGAGAGCATTTGAGATGTCCAACATATTAAAGCAATTTTATAATTAGACAGTTTTTTGGTTGTCCTTGGGGTACCCCTTCCATTGTTCTTGCAGCTCCCCTTTTACTGTGCCTCTTACGCGCAAGGCTGCCCACGTTGATTGTGGTTGAGCGGCGGCTGCCCACATCCCCGTGTGCCTTCACGGCCCACTTGTGCGTGTGTTGTCATACTCGCTATACACTCAAAAAAAGCATGGCTGTGCCAGACTGTTTCGTCGGACTTTCATTGACTCATCAGGAGGTTGAACCCCGATAGTCTGCCCAGGATTCATTTGTTTGATGGATAACGACGCACCACATCGCCCAAAGTTAGCGACACCCCTGAGAAAAGTGGTCCACTTTACTCACACCAACCTTGCAATCCTAGCAGAATGCCGGTCCAAACCCTTGACAAGAACGGTAGTAAGTCTGAGAAACTAATCGGACACAGTCATAAAACACACTGTACACACCAAATCAGTCATGGACACCCAATGGCATGACCGCTAGTGTGTGTGTTTGTAAGTATGTATAATGACGCCTCAGTACACAACAAGTGTACTCCGCTCGGCGAACCCCAAGGAGAGACCCATGCACTCGACAACTTGAAGACAATTCTCACATAACCCCATAGTGGACCGAACGTTGACAGCTGAACAATACAAACAATAAAGGACAGGCTGGAGGGCACGGGGGAGGTGGGTGGGCAAACAAACAGCACAAAACATAGAGGCATGAAAGACAGTGCAGCACAAGACATAGGCTCGAGGGCATGGGGAAGAAGAATTGGCAAACAAACAGTGCACGGCAGCAAGGCACATACTCAGCTGGATGGCACGGGCAGGCAAACAGCTCAAGGCAACAACGCACACCTGGTGAAAGGCATAGGGTAGGCAAATGGGCAGGAAAAAACAGCATAAGGCAGCAGGGGAATGTTAGCGGGTACAAACAACAACAAGACAAAAACCGAAAAAAATAAAATCTGATGAAGGCAGTAAGGCACATACTCAGCTGGATGGCATGTGCTGCCAAACAGCTCAAGGCAACAACGCACACCTGGTGAAAGGCATAGGGTAAGCAGATGGGCAGGAAAACAGCAAAAGGCAGCAGGGGAACGGTAGCAAGTACAAACAACAACAAGACAAAAACCGAAAAAGATAAAAGCTGATGATAGATTGTTTCGTCGGAGTTGCACCGACTCATCAGGAGGCTGAACCCTCGGCAATCTGCAGGAATCGCCATATTAGATGGTTTGGGTCATGAACCCTTTGACCCTTGTTGAAGGCAGACTGTCCCCAAGCGGAACATAGCAGCGGGTGGCGTCCCTGTGGAGCACCAGGCAGCCCAGTAGAGGCAACACAACTGCACAACGCCAAAAATGACTGCAGGGAAAGACATGGCACGCAGCGCGGAAAGACGGACGACACGGGCAAAGGACGAGCAGCAAGGCAGTGGAGTAGTGAAGCGCAAGGCAACACCAACAACAAGGCCACACCACACAGTGAACAAAGCAATATGCAGAGAGCCACATGCGAAGCCAGCAGGACAGGCAGCAAGGGGGCAGTGGAGCGCAGACGAGGCAATCCACACATCCAACACGGAGCAAAGCAGCACATGACCTACTCACATCACGATTGAACCCCACAGACTGTTGGTTCCCACCACCCACTGAGCCAGGGAGTCACTCTGACGAGCATCCGTCATCACGTACAGGCAACACAGACATCCCGAACTGAGCGGCCCC